AGAGATGCCATTAGCCAACAACCAGTATGCGTTCAAGGTCACTGGAACACACACACACTCCTCTTGGAACGCTATTGTTGAACTCCAACCAAGACACATATTAACAAATCGCTGATTGACTGGGTTTCAGCACAGAACTTTGAACAGAACTGTCACAATTCAAGTTACCACACTGTCTGTCTGTCTGTCTTCGACATAGAACTTTGCACATATGTGCACCAGTTCAAGTCACCACACTCCCTCCATGTAGCACACAAAGCAACACAAGAAAGTAGAAGAAATGCATAATAGAGACAGTAAACAGAGGTGTGACACAAAGGAAGAGTAATAACGAAGAACAAAACTGTTTCATTGGAAATCATAAATCACAAGGAGTGGATGCATCTACGCCAGCCATCGAGAACGATTTTGAGCCATGTCACCAACTGTTTCCAACCATTCGTTCCTACCGTCCCAAGGACCCCAACTGGTCAGGAAGTCTACACCTTCCTACGTGACTGGCTGGCTTAGACTAACTGTTGTAGATTTCATTGACTGAAGAGGCCATGTTTTGGTTAGACCGCCACTCGCAGCTCTTTTCCAGTCTGACCCTATATCAGCTAACATTGCCTGTCAAGGAAGGCGATGACTAGGCATACGTAACACATGTCCTAACCATCTCAGTCGATGTAATTTCACAGCCTCGTCGATTGATTTCCCCTTCAACTCACCTAGCACTCGACCACCGATGCCTAACCTCAATATTGCTCACCTTATTATACCACTTCACATGGGAGATAGAACGCAGGCACCTATGATCAAAGACAGCTAATCTTTTCATGTCTTCCACTCAATGGCCAGGTCTCACAGCCATAAAGGAGGACGGAGCGGACTGATGAGCACTACACCCGTTCTTTTGTCGATAGTTTTATTGGAAATCATAAGTCACTAGGAGTGGATGCATCTAACTGTGTCAGCCACTGAGAACGATTTTGAGCCATGTCACCAATTGTTTCCAACCACTGGTTTTCACCGTCCTGAGGACCCCGACCAGTCAGGAAGTTTACACCTTCCTACGTGACTGGCTGGCTTAAACTAACTGTTGTGGATTTCATTGACTGATTACCAAGTGATGTTTTGGTTTGACCGCCGCTAGCTCTTTTCCAGCCTGACCCTAACACAGGAGATGGAGGGCAACCATCTCATGGTCGCCTACTATATTCATAACCAGTTTCCGTGGTTTTTTCGAAGCATGCTAGTCTGGATTACTGGTTCTGTACATGTTGTTTTGTCTATCCGTTAGATAGTCAGCCAGCAGTAAGACTGAGTTAGAAGCAGCGCGCGGTTTTCAAAAGCCGGTATTTTAAAAAATTTTAATTAACTTACATACTACTACTGCTACTACTACTAAAATCCATAATGCTACTGAAAATTATTTGTCTTTACTGTCAATCTAGATGAGGTCATGTGCGACACACACACACACACAAGCACACGACCCTTTGAATTTCAACAGAGTAAAAGAAGAGTGATACCAGTTGATCATGCTGGATAAAAAGTATGTTGGAATGTATGAAATTTTCTACAAAGACAAATTACAGAAGTACGCCGATAAAATGAAGGTTTGCGTGCATATATAATAAGAGAGAAAAAAGAAAAAGAAAATACCTGGAATCATGACTATTTCGATAGCAGTTTTTGATTAAAACTGATGTAATAATGAAATGAATATATGCGCTAATCAACTGTTTCTTTAGACCAGACACATTTACTTAACAGTCATTTGTATAGGCCATTTCTCTAGGAGCTTAGTTTTCCATGCTCGAAAACACCTACTAGTGTATTGGCTAAATAAAGGTGTAGTTGGAACTATTAATAGTTCTTCACTAGACTACCTTGTCCAAATGAATTATAAAGCTGGTATTGAAGAATATTCTTCGATCACACACCGGGTATCATGTAAATTACCAAGAGCTTCAACACACCAAATGCTTCAAACATCAGAGGTCATTGCAATTCACTTCAAATAATCAAAGCTCTGCGTGGAAACGAAACATGCTCAGCCACTATTGCCACCTTGGTCTATAGTGGAATCTATAGCTGGTGAATAAGGTTGTCTCTAATTTGAAACGAAGCAAAGCACCGGACCTGATGAAGTGACTCCAAAGGTGACATATTGCTGTTTGGACTAACTAAGCTGTTAGGCACCATCTGGGAATCAGAGATAGAGACTGGTTTAAGTCATTGATTACCTCAGTATACAAGACGGGAGACAGGTCTTCCTGTGATAATCACAGATGGATTAGCTTGACTAATATGGTATCTTAAGGTCTAGGTTCAATAATCATGTGTAGATTGAGTGGTGCTCGAGAGAAACAAACAAGAAAACCAGGCTAAGTAAACAGGGGAAATCAATCGACGAGGTTGTGAAGTTAAATCGACTGAGATGGTTAGGACATGTGCTTCGTAAACGTGCTTAGTCATCGCCTTCCTCGACGAGCAATGTTAGCGGATACTGGGTCAGGCTGGAAAGGAGCCGCTAGTGGTGGTCTAACCAAAGCATGGCCTCTTCAGTCAATGAAATCTACAACAGTTAGTCTAAGCCAGCCAGTCACGTAGGAAGGTGTAGACTTCCTGACCAGTTGGGGTCCTCGGGACGGTAGGAACGAATGGTTGGAAACAATTGGTGACATGGCTCAAAATCGTTCTCGATGGCTGGCGTAGATGCATCCACTCCTTGTGATTTATGATTTCCAATGAAACAGTTTTGTTCTTCGTTATTACTCTTCCTTTGTGTCACACCTCTGTTTACTGTCTCTATTATGCATTTCTTCTACTTTCTTGTGTTGCTTTGTGTGCTACATGGAGGGAGTGTGGCGACTTGAACTGGTGCACATATGTGGAAAGTTTTATGTCGAAAACAGACAGAGACAGACAGATCAAGTAGGGGACATAATCAGATGATCAGATTTCCTTTCGACAGATTCTCGGACATAGACATACTTACTGGCCTGAAGGAGGCATTTAATTACATCAACCGAGTGATTCTAAGGTGGTGTTCGGATGGGAAAGAAATTTCGAGAAAGCATCTCGCGCTAATCAAGCCACTTTAGTTGATCTCACACAGAGAAGTTTGAGCTTGGGGAAAGTTGTCATCAAGGATGGCCCAACATCTCCATTTCTGTTAATTCCATCATAGGTGTACTAATAGACTTAACCCTAACTGACTTCAGTGACACAGGGATTCACTTTTTGCAACCATGACACAATCTCGTTGACTTAAAATACACGAATGAAATATAGTCCTCTCTCCAAGCTGGAGACGCTGATAAATTGCAGAGTCTTCTGAACACCTTCAGGGGCAGCAATAATCTTTGATTGTTTCACAAGCCATTTGCTCACTTGAAATGAAAGATCGTGGCACAGAACTGGACTACATTGGCGCCTAGCATAAAATTAGGCAGTGAAGTGGTTGGTGGAGAGCGTTGACCACTTTACTTATTATTTGGGGGTTGCAACAACCAATGCCAGCAGGTTGATCGCTGAAGAAATCTCAGATTCAGAGGGCTACTTTCGCATATGAGAGTTTACGCCGTCGCTGGCGTTGACGTGATATATGGTTGGTTGTCGACCAGAGGACGTGCCTACTGCTTGGCAGTTCGCACTATCCTCAGTTGTGGCTGGCTGCAAGACATGGCTGTTGAAAGTGGAAGACATGTAAAGGACAGCTAGCTGTCATTGATATTAGGTGTCAGCTTTCTATTTCCCATGTGTGTGAAACAGTATAGTAGGGTTAATAATAATAATATCAGGTGTGAGTCGACTGTCAGGTAAGGATGGAGGGGAAATCAGTCGATGAGGCTATGATATTACACCGATTCAGATGGTTAGGAAATCTGTTATGCATGCCCAGTCTAGCCATCGCCTTCCTTGACGAACGGGAAATGTCATCTGACTGAAATATGATTGATGAGGTTGGAAAAGAGATGCAAGTGGTGATCAAGTCAAAACATGGCCTCATCAGTCCATGAAATCTTTCAAGGTTAGTTTAAGCCATGTAAGGATGTGTAAACTTCCCGGCTGGTTGTAGTCCTGGGATACTAAGAACCAATAGCTGGAGATTATTTTTGAAATAGCTTAACATCGTTCTTCACAGCTGGCGTATATGCATTCACTCTTTCTGATCTGCCATATCGATGAAGCCCCATTGTTCTTCCATGTTACTATTGTTTCTCCCTCATATTTCTGCTTACTATAATATCCTTTTGAATCTCTCTCTCTCTCTTAACTTGTCATCCTTCGTGTACTAAATGGAATGTATCAACTTTAACTGGTCCACCTCTGTGCAAAGTTCTATGTTGGTACTAGTCAGTTAGAATCTAATGAAGGGGTTATCGAGAAGAAACTTATCTATGCACTACTAACCAGTTTAAAATAAACTAGGACAAAGTATTGGTGACAGCGAAATCCTCAGAAGGACAAGGCAACATCCTCATGGGCCACCTCTCGAGCCTTTGCTTAGACATTAGATCCACAAGGTAGACCACAGCAGACCAGCGCATGCCCATGGTCATCTATGACCAAAACAGATTCCTACGCCATTCCATCCTCTCAGATTCTGGGGATCATGTACACCGTAGGTTTTGGAATAATCAGGCTTTTCCAACACCCCTAGGTAGACCTGCATGCTCATCATTCTAGCCGTAACCTCCAGACATAAATTCTCAACCTTGCTTTCACTTCCGTCGTGAGGAACACCCTCGCCACTTGATGACAGTGAACAGAACTAACCTATTAGCGCAGAGGCTATGGGCACGTGAGATCTTTTCGAGAGGAAGACCAAAAGTCTACCCACCCTTGGTCGTACACCACCAGAACTTTCACACGGGACTTCTCTGAGGTGTAATGTTATGAGTATATCAAGTTACATTAAGGAAAGTTAATTAACGATAAAATATTTTTGAAACCATTCGCAAATTGCAGCTAATTTCCACAACAACAAAAAATAAAAGAAAATTTACCTGACTTTCTTGTAACTGTCGACTGTTGACTGATGATAATTGTGGAAACCAGGAGGAGGAGGAGTTAGGAGTGACTGTCGACGGAGGTAAAGGCTCAGGGATATGTATCCTACGTGGACGACTATATTGATATGATGGTTGTGTAAAAGCTTGTTCTGAGAATGAATTTTCACCGGCATGGAGACGATTGAAGTCAACTGTATTATGCGTAGACAACTCATCATTATTCATAGGAGTTTTAGTTAACCGACTGGACCAAATTTGTGTAGGTTGTGAGGGTGTTATACAAATTCTCTGAGCAGGAAGATATTGAGGTTCATTGATCAATCTAGGATTTGGATATGATGTTGATGAATAGCCACCACCACCACCACTACTACCGCGGGCGCCGCCACCACCGCCAGATGTACCAGATTCAGTGAAGTATTCGCTGCTTTGAACAGATTTCAATCCAATTGAATTATAGGGCATAGAATTCACTTCAAAATTCGTGGTTGTAGACGACGATACTTGAGATGAAGAAGATAAGAAAGAATCTGCCGGTGGCATAACATTGACGATTGTACCACCCGGTTGAGCAAGTACAACTGGTTTATTTCGTTGATGTAGTCTAGCAGTAAATTTATTCGATATAAATCTCATATCAACAGGACCATTTGAATTGATTGTGTTTGCATATAAGGAACTTTGAGTATCATGGGAAGAGAAGGCTGATGTTGCTGTTGCTCCTGCTGCTGGATTGTGATGATGACGCAACATTTGAGGATGACTTGATGATAAATGGGGTATTGATGAATAGTTTAGTGGACCTACAGATTCACAATAGGCTTCATTTCTGTTGTTATCATCGGTAAGATCAATAACTGTATTGGGTGAGGGAGGAGTTTGTACAACCCAAGGATACTGATGACAAGACGAATTAGATACTTGTCTGTATAGGAAAGAGAGAATAGACAAGGGGTGGAACGGTTAGAAATATCAACAAAATGCACGTCACTTTATTCACTGTATACAAATAAGCTATGTATTACCCACACGACAACGGCACATGTCAAGTTATCCACAAGGGAAAACTCAACGAGGCGTTTGGAGTAAACACAGAAGTCAGACAAAGATGCTTAATGTCACCAATGATATTCCCAATTGTGGTCGACTGGATTATGCATCAGACAGTGAGTGGGAAACGAGAAGACAGGGATATCCTGGACCGTCCGATGTGAACAACCTAGAAGACCTGGATTTGATGTCACACCAAATCGAAAACTTACAAGTGAAAACCGACAAACTGGTCGAAAAAGTAGCCAGCGAAGACAGGACTCCAGGTGAACATAGACAAGACGGAGGTTATGAAAATAACCAACCAACTAACAATAACAACAGCAGCAACATCCAGAGCCAATCAACATCAACGGGAGAGATTTGAAATTCACCTATCATCTAGGGAGCATTGTCTCGACTACAGGAGAAACGGAGGAAGGCGAGAAACACATTCATCAACCAGCTGGAACCAATCTGGAAATCCTCGTCACTCATCTCAGCATCAACAACAAAATTCGGTCGGATTTTCAATACAAACAACGTCAAGTCAGTCAGTTCTTCTATACGGATCAGAAAGTTGGCGCACGGGTCACAAAGAATATTTCCAACAGCTTGTTGCAGACCAAAGCTTTATCAACAACTGTCTTCGCTGACTCTATACTGAAGATCAGATGGCCGGGCCGGAAAGAATCACCAACAAGAAACTATGGGAAGGAACAAACAAAACAAGAAGCAATCACCAACTAACAAATATGCAGGAAAAAGTGGAGATGGATTGGATACTCGTTGGGGAGACCGCTTGGTGACATCGCGCGCGCGTCAGGCTATTGCTCGAGTGGAACCCGAAAGGGAAGTGAAGACAAGGGGACGTCAGTGAAAGGGTGACATGGAGGAGATCGTGTGAAGAGGAGTTGAAACAGTATGGACTAACGTGAATCCATGTGAAAAGTGCGTGTAGTTGAAGCACTATGCTCCACTAGGAACCCAAGGGAACAATGATAATAATAATAATACCCACCTTAACATTTGATGGCGTTGTCGTGCTTCACGCATCAGATCACGTATGTCATGGTGACGTGGTACTCTACGCTTCTCTTCCATTGTATGTACCTGAAAAATAAAATAAATATTAATTAGGATAAAACAAAGTGAAGAAATACACATTATGCATGTAATTAGGTGCATCTATAGAGTAAAGTTAAGTATTCAGTGACAGAATTATGACTAGTTACTTAGCAACTCAGAATATGCACGCAGGCTAAATGAAATACATAAATGTATATCTTTTACACAATTACATTATCTTGCATTTGTCTGTTTGTCTGTTTTCAACACAGAACTTTGCACCGATGTGCACCAATTCAATTCGTCCCACTCCCTCCGTGTAGCACACAAAGCAAAAGAAGAAAGTAGAAGAAATGCATGATGCGTCGGTGGTATAGCGGTTAGGACGCTCACTGACCATGCACATGATCCGAGGTTCGATTCCCGGCCGACGAGGCACTCCTTTACCTCGCTGAGCCAGAAATAATCCTGGTAAAGAGGAAAGGCTGGGCATGAGGCTAGCGACCCCATCCTGCAAAATAAACACTGCCACAGAAACTTCAAGCCACTAGCTTGAGGCCCTATGTTCCACTGGGGAACGTGAAGGAAAAATAAAAAAAATAAAAAAACAGAGGTGTGAGACAAAGAAATAGTAATAACGAAGAACAATATAGTTTTATTGGATATTATAAATCACAAAAAGCGAATGCATCTACACCAGCCATTGAGAAAGAAGATATTGAGCCATATCACCAATTGTTTACAGCCATCGGTATTTACCGTCTCGAGGACCCCATCCAGTCAAGTAGTCGACACCTTCCTACGTGGCCGACTTAAACTAACTGTTGTAGATTTCATTGACTGATGACCAGTCGTGCTTTGGTTTGACTACCGCTGGCTATTTACCAGTCTGATCCCATGTCAGCTAACATCGCCACTCAGTCGAGGAAGGCGATGACTAGGCATACGTACGTAACACGCGTCCTAACCATCTCAGTCAATGTAATTTCACAGCCTCGTCGACTGATTTCTACTCCTTACCTAGCGTTATCTTGCATACCTTTTTATGTCCTTAAATTCTACTTATCAGTTACACCTACATTTCTCTTGATGACAGCATTAAATTTCCAGGACAGTGTTGATAGGAAGTAGGATAGTTTGCATATTGCCAGTTTTTGGATGGAGACTTGTGGAATCATTCGGGTAAGTACTCAACTTTAAACCAATGGATCCCGGATTCGAATCTTGCTCTACCTACTTGTGTATGTAGTATGGTATGCGTTTTGTGCCATCTAAGTGTAAAGCACTGTTGGCAGGAGCCTATGTCTGCATTAACCCTCGCAAGTGAACCCCCTAAAGTTGTCGATAAGTTTGTGTATCTGGGTAGTTGTGCGAGTGCTGACGTTGGTGTAACGGAAGAGATTTCTAATTGTATCATGAAGCTAGAGTGGTATACACCAATTTGAGCCGTTGAGACGTTAGACCGGTTCTCAAACGTTGAGTTCAAAATGCTTGCTCTACACCTATGAAACCTGACCTCTCCAAGCTGAGGAAGTGTAGCAACTCTGCATATTCGATTATCCCTGTCTTTGTAGAACTGCTCAAGTTGGATGACATTATCGTCTGAGTAATTCTGAGGTCCAGTAGAATGTGTTTGGACAACGGCTTCGACGTCTTGGAAATGTGCTGCGAATGTCCTCCCAGAGGCTCATACACCGGTCTCTGTTTGCTAGCTCTGAAAGGGGATGGAAAAAGCGGAAAGATGTTTAGCCTATGACGAGCGTCGTGAGACAAAGGATATCTGTATTAGGTTAGCACCAGTTGGTAAATCTTGACTCCCTTGGTTGAGTTCTAAGAGAAAGTTCGAACATGTGGGTCGAAACGTTATCAGATATGGCTTAGAATCGCAATCATTGGAGAACACTCTGTCAACTTCACTCTAACTTCCTATTCTTACAGTAATTTGAAGAATGTTTTTAGGTCTTGTTGAATATAATTGCTTCCTTTCTGGTTGAAGTCTTTTATTCATTCTCCCCTGATTTCCTCTCTATATTGTTGTTTTATTATTATTGTTGCAAGGCGCATCTTCTTGGTGACAATATTGTACCAGGTTTTTCAACCAAAGCAACGGAGTAGTGATGATCAGACCTCACACAACCAGTGTTACTCAAAGGCCGGTGTGCTGGGAAGGTGAGTTCCAGCTAACTCATGGATGGAGCTATGAGCTAGTCTTTGTGAGACGAAAGGATTTCGAACTAGCCAGAAACCACTGGCTGAATGTTAGCTACATTTCCATTGGATAGATGAAAATCGATTTTAGCATGTAATTTGTCAAGGTATCACTAAAGGGGAGAAATAGTAGGCAATTTCTCATCTCGTATGTTTTGTTGTGTCTGTTTTTTTTTGTTTAACAAACTTTAAACGCGACACAACGTTTGTATGGCATATAATTCGAGTACAAGCCTCACCTGGTGTTGTAGATTGTGAACTTTATGTGTTGCTTATAAAAATATTATTGTTATCATTGTCGTCTAAAAATAGAACTTCACACTTTATGATCGCCAAGAAATGAATGAGGCAAAAATAATAATAATAAAACAAAAACATTAGGAAAATAAAAATTAGAATAAGTGAAGGACATAATCAAGAAAATAAGTAAGCATAGTTATCAAGAACATTCGAGGATGGTTTGTAAATCCATGTTAATTTCAGAAAGAGTCGGAAAAAAGAGGAAATTGTAGCATGTTCAACACTGATAACGAATCTCGGTCGTATTTGATAATGTCTCGTATCATCGGTTCGAATTACCTATTGTATTAGACCTAATACAACCATCCATCATGAAACGACACCACGTCTTTATGGGTTGACCGCTTCTTCCACCCAGTCCCAGAGTTAGAGGACAGTGAATGGTATGTGAGTCACTGGGATGACATTTATAATACACGTTGAAACCATCCTAGTCAGTGTTCCAAGATAACAACACATATTGGAAGACGACCTCTATAGTTCAAACACACGCCAATGGACCTCAGAATAGCTTATATGGCGATGATCGCATACACAGAGTCACCACACATCCTGGGACCGAAAAAACCTGGTTTCACAAGCGTAGAACAATACTATGCGTATTGTGCAAATTTTGACGGCCAAGGATGGTCCAGGTTGGTGTCTGTACCACCCTAGATTTCACTATACGGTCAAAGATATCATCCGTCACACCACCATCATTAAAAAAAAAACAACTATTTACATACACAAACATCGGTTACTTCTATCGGTTGACCTGTAAGGGTGAGTGTACGTACAGGCTCCTGCTAATGCTGCCATAAAATTTTGTCCTTAGACGGCCCAACACACATACCATACCTTAAAGGCATGATCGCAACCTGCATACTATTGCACAACAGGACGACGTCGTCGTCTGCATACTGGAAACCACGGGCTCTTTGCTTCTACTACACTTATAAGCTGTGAGATCGAATGAAACCTACTGATGAAAGTGTCCAAAACTTTAGTGACAAACAGTCCATAAGTCTTCAATGTGATGCTTTAAACAACTGTATTTAACAGCTGCTTCTTATGACTTTAATGCTATGCCTCAGTCGAATCACTTTCAACTTTTTATCCAACTTCCTGCAAGTTAGAATTCATGGGCCATTGGAATGGGTCCCAGTGGCTAAACAGTCTAAGAGCTCGTCTGTCTGTCTGTTTTCGACATAGAACTTTGCACCGATGTGCACCAATTCAAGTCACCACACTCCCTACTCGTAGCACACAAAGCAAAAAATGGTAGAAAAAAAAAGCATATTAGAGACAGTAAACAGAGGTGTGACACAAAGGAATAGTAGTAATGAAGAACGATAAAGTTCCATTGGAAATCATAAATCACAAGGAGTGGATGCATCTGCACCAGCCATTGACAACGATTTTGAGCCATGTCACCAATTGTTTCCAACCATTGGTTTTTCCCGTCCCGAGGACCCCAACCAGTCCCTACGTGACTGCCTGGCTTAAACTAACTTGTGGATTTCATTGACTGATGAGGCCGTGTTCAGGTTTAACCGCCACTCGCAGGTCTTTTCCTGTCTGACCCTACATCAGCCTGTCAAGGATGGAGATGACTAGGCATGTGTACGTAACACATATCCTAACCATCTCAGTCGATGTAACTTCACAACCTCGTCGATTGATTTCCCCTCTAACTCACCTAGCACTCGACGCCTAACCTCAATATTGCTCACCTTATTATACCACTTCACATGGGAGATATAACGCAGGCACCTATGATCAAAGACAGCTAATCTTTTCATATCTTCCACTCAATGGCCAGGTCTCACAGCCATAGAGAAGGACGAGACGGACTGATGAGCACCACACCCGCCTTTTGGTTGATAGCCAGCCGGATATCACGTCTACCAAGCCAGAAACTGCATAAACTGGCATTTGTGAAACTAACTCTCTTTATCCGTTTTTAGATTTCGTCAGAGATCAACCCGTTGGCACAGGCTGATGGTACTTCCCAAATAATTGAAGCCGTCAACGTGCTCTACCACTTCACTCTCTATTTCTAAACTAGGAGTCAGTGTAGTCCAGTCCTGTAACATCATTTTACATTTGACAGCAGGAGCGAATCGTATACCAAACATTCTAAGAGCTCGCCTGGCAATCAGGTCCTCGGTTTGAACCCTGGTGGTGGGTTCGTACTGCATAAAAATCTCAAACCAGTTTGACGAAACAGCAGTCTGGCAGTACTCCCTGGCGGTTTCTTCAATGGGTTCTCTAACCGATGTCAGATCATGATGAAATTCTGTAACCACCAATCAATCAGATGCCTACAAACCAATACTTGAATATTAATTCAACTTAGGTTAAACACAACCCCCCTCTATATGAAAGTTGTGGCTCAACATAAACAATCCATTTACTTCAGCGTGTACAATAAGTTAAAGTTACACCCCATTTGTTATCGTTGGCAATAAAATATTTAAAAAATCATACAAACAAATGACTCAGATAGACTAAGTACAGATTTATAGTCTGATGCTATGTCATATTTATTGAGATGGAATGTCCAACAAGGTGTGAAAGTTCAGTATTGGACAGAACTGGTAACTCATATAGTCAACGTTTACACAGAATGAGATCAAATACAAGTGTATATGAATTGTACACTGCAGATGAATAAAAATTAAAACAAAATGGGAAAGTTGTGTTGTTTTTTTAACTACACAAAGCGACGTGAGGGAGATAACTTTGAAACAATCTATGCTGGACCTATGTACTTAAACATGTACATTTATTATCATTATTTGCTTAACTTCCAAGCGGAATATGGAGCTTCAACAGCATATCTCCATTACATCCTCTTCTCTGTAGTCATTTCTAGCTGGCTCCATGATCGCCTGTAAGCTCCCAACTCCTTCTAACACGATCTCCTGTATATCACCCCAACTAATATTTTCCAATTCTGGTTCCACTCCAGGGCCTGGCGTGCGATGATACCCAAAGGTCTCCCCTCAGGAGATGTCCGATCCATCTCTATTTTCTTCCTCAAAGTTGTTGGGTGATAAGTACTTGATTGCTTCGTTGCCAAAGTTCCTTTTCGCCAGTCGTTTCTGACCATTCGATTTTCAGTACGGAGCGACGGGTGAAATTGTTGATAATTGTGTGGTGCCGGGGTTAGAAATGCTTTCAATCACGCTCCAAGTCTCTGTGCCCCACGTAGAAGCACTGATTTCACATTTGTGTTAAAAAACCGATTCTCATTGGGTGTGAATTAGATTTCCACATACTGACTTCATATTAATGAAGATCTGCCTCGCCTTTCCAATCTTTATCCATACCACCTGTAGTTGAAACGGCGCTGCGCCTTGGACAAGTTGAACAGGTGGCCTCTCTTGAATTTCGCCCGTTGATAGGAATAATCAGAGGTTCATATTGTTGGCTAGGTATTCTCAACACTCTCGGTTTCTCTCTACAATCACTTGAAGTTCACTGCTTCTTCTGCCAACTTGTTGGTTTCCACTTGTAGATCTTCAAGTTTGTGTGACATTTAAACATTAATCGTCCAATAAATGCAAAATCTCTTAGAGTCTTCTTATTGGTCAAACGTATTCCTGTCTTCTGGTACCGAACGAACTGCCGCATGATCCAGTAGTAGTCCGCCAAAATCAGGATGATCATCTGTGATAATAGACAGCTTTGTCTTACTCCTGTCTCCATTTCACGGGTATCGCTGAGTTTACTGTTGTCAATCACCTGATGAGTGACATCGTCATACAGCTGTTGAATGTGGTTGCGATAAAGGTTCATAACCATGTACAGATGTTAATTTCAAAAGAAAAGGATTTCATAATAACATCACTTTGAATAATAAAAAAGCGTACAAAAGCCATCACTGGCGAATACTAAGTGTCATCAAATACCGTAAACTTCTAAAAGATTCAGATAAAATAAGGTATAATGAAGGTAACTGACTTAAGTTCGAAGACAGTATGAAATTCTATAGGAATCTCCTCACTCACTATGAAATGCGATTGCCCATCAATTACAACCACATATATAGGGAAAACACAGACTTTTTGATTGGAGACTAGTCAGTAACTAATGTGATGTGTCTAGTTCTTGGGCATTGGTGCCGACTGAATTCTACCAGTCAGTCAGGTTTCGCTATGTGGCCACCATCCTAAGTAGTTCACCATCATGGTGCACATTGATTTGATGATATTAGATGGTTTGAGGCAATCAGCAGGAAAAGGACTAGCCAGACACCCATCCCACTAGTTACTAGTGTCCAAACAAACATATCCACTACAGTCCTACAGGAAGTCAATCGCGAGCCTGAATAGCTCAGTGGTAACGTCTCTGACTGCAGGAGACACTGGGTGACGCAGGTCCGAATCACAGAAGGGATATGATTTCCTTCGAGATCGCAGATACGTCTTGCTGACTGGTGAGTGCCAACTAAAACGAAACCTGGGTCAGGCAAGGCATCCTGTGGTCGATTGCCTCCAACCATCTAATATCATCAAAAAACACAAGTTACTTAAATAACAACCTTTATGGATGTAAAAACCACCCAGTGCTCAAGCTTTACCAAGCTTACGTTTTGAATAAATTATACGCAAGGTGAACTTAACCAAACTACTGAATAAACAAACCTCGCTAAAATCTAACATGAATATTTTATCAACTGTCAGACTTTACAAATTCAGCTGAACAGGCGGTTATGCAGTCTGTTTGCACATTACTTAGCATAGGCGTTTGATTAGTGTCACTTAAGTTGGGAAAACAGCTTACCAACCAACACTACCAAGAAATCTTAGTGGTAACTAGCTGCCTTTGATCATAGGTGCCTGCGTTCTATTTCCCGTGTAAAGTGGCATAATAAGGTGAGCAACATGGAGGTTAGGCGTAGAGTTCTAGGTAAACAGGGGAAATCAATCGACGAAGTCATGAAGCTACAAAGACTGAGATGGTTAGGACATGTGTTACGTATGCCAAGCCATCGCCTCCCTCGACGAGCAATGTTAGCGGATATAGGGTCAGGCTGGAAAAAAGCTAGCGGCGGTCAAACAAAAACTTGGCCTCACCAGTCAATGAAATCCACAACAGTTGGTCTAAGCCACGTAGAAAGGTGTAGACTTCCAGGTTGGGGTCCTCGGGACGGTAAAAATCTATGGTTGGAAACAATTGGTGACATGGCTCAAAATCGTTCTCAGTGGCTAGCGCAGATGCATCCACTCCCTGTAACTTATGATCTTCAATGAAACTGTTTTGTATTTCTTTATTACTCCTTTGTCTCACACCTCTGCTCACTGTTTCTATTATGCTTTTCTTGTACTTTCTTCTCTTGCTTCGCGTGCTACACGGAATGTGGCGACTTGAACTTCCGCACATTTGTGCAAAGTTCTATGTCGAAAACAGACAGACAGTGGTAACTATGGCTTCATGAATGCAAGTCAGTGGTTCACTGAACTTGTATTTATTATATGACTAGTCCAATGTGTATAGAGGCTAGCTCCTATTGTCATGAATTCAAGGCAAACGAATATAATAATGATATCATCACCAGCAGTAGAGATAGGTCAAAAACTTTGTTGACTGAAAACATGTGTATAAGGCAGAAATAAGTAGTACATGGTGAAAGATTAAAAAAAAAAAACAAGCATGAAACTACTCCAAAATCTTAAAGTTTCTTCTAACAGATATAACAAATTTTTTTAATAGTAATATTATGAAATAAGAACTTACTGTACACAATACTGAATTTTTACACTTGATATTATCCACCTCTAGACAACCACATTCTGTGACAGGATCAAAAGTATCATCTAAAAGAAGAGAAGAGAAATACCAGAAATGGAAATTATTGCACACTCTTGACTAATTCGAAATAAAAAGAAATGAGAAACCTATTTGCAGAATGATAAATACGATCTTAGATCAATGAAACTAGCTCCAAGTCATCAAAATAATCTGCGTTGTACTACACACATATATCGAGTCATCTAAGAAACAACATATCCCCCCTTCCCCTAAGGATCAGATCACAATCGAATTCGACGGTCTGCCGAAAAGACTCAATTCAGTGTGTTGTATAAGGCTTATTAACTTCGCGCATGACTTACAACACAGCTGTAAACTGTGAATTCATATGAGAAGAAAATGAGAAAATCTTAAACAGTGGAAAGACAACGTGTTGAATTTCCACACTCCACGGGAAAATACACACAAATAATCTGTCTGTCTGTTTTCGACATAGAACTTAGCACATATGTGCACCAGTTCAAGTCGCCACACTTCCTCCTCGTAGCACACAAAGCAAGAGAAGAAGGTAGAAAAAAAAAATATTAGAGATAGTAAACAGAGGTGTGACACAAAGGAATAGTAGTAATGAAGAACGATAAAGTTCCATTGGAAATCATAAATCACAAGGAGTGGATGCATCTGCACCAGCCATTGACAACGATTTTGAGCCATGCCACCAATTGTTTCCAACCATTGGTTTTTACCATCCCGAGGACCCCAACCGGTCAGGAAGTCTACACCTTTCTACGTGGCTGAGACTAGCTGTTGTAAATGGCATTGACTGGTGCCATGTTTTGGTTTGACCACCACTAGCTCTTTTCCAGCCTGACACTAATTCAGCTAACATTGCCCGTCAGTCAAGGAAGGCGATGACTAGACATGTGTACGTAACACATGTCCTAACCATCTCAATCGATGTAGCTTCACAGCCTCGTCGATTGATTTCCCCTTCAACTCACCTAGCACTCGACCACCGATGCCTAACCTCAATATTGCTCACCTTATTATACCACTTCACATGGGAGATAGAACGCAGGCACCTATGATCAAAGACAGCTAATCTTTTCATATCTTCCACTCAATGGCCAGGTCTCACAGCCATAGAGAAGGACGAAACGGACTGATGAGCACTACACCCGCCCTTGGGTTGATAGCCAGCCGGATATCACGTCTACCAAGCCAGAAACTGCATAAACTGGCATTTGTGAAACTAACTCTCTTTATCCGTTTTTAGATTTCGTCAGAGATCAACCCGTTGGCGTTGGCTGATGGCACTTCCCAAATAAGTGAAGCGGTCAACGTGCTCTACCACTACACTCTCTATTTCTAAACTAGGAGTCAGTGTGGTCCAGTTCTGTAACATCATCTTATATTTGGCGGGAGCGAATCGCATGCCAAACATTCGTAGATTGTAGCTGAATGTGTTCAGAAGACTCCCCATTTCGTCAGTGTCCTGACCTAGAAGGACTATATCATCTGTATATTCTAAGTCAACGGGATTATTCCCTCCCTGGTAGCAAGTCAATCCCTGAGTCGCTGAAGTCACTTAGGGTTAAGTCCATTAGTACATCAATGATGAAGTTGAATAAAAATGGGGATAATGGGCATCCTTGACGGACACCACTAGTCGCCACCACTTCAGATGACAACTCGCCGTAAGCCCTCACCTGGCTGCATGATTTCTTGTAGAGTGAGTGCCTTAATCAGTGTAATGTATTTTCTCGGCATTCCCTTAACAGCCAAGCATCGCCAGAGAACCTCTCGGTCGACAGAATCGAGTTCCGCCCTTAGGTCAAGAAATATAGTGATTGTTGGACGCTGGTAAGAATGCCTATGTTCTAGAATCTGTCGGAGGGTGAAGATATGATCAATACACCCTCTTCCGGGTCTAAAGCTTGCCTGGCTTTAGCCAACACACAGTCTAACGAACGTAAAACTAAAACTAAAGTCGACAATGAAACTCTACAATTTTCTAGGATTTAGATATCACGTGGCGGATTCGTTTCTCAGCAGAACTGACACAATAAAGGCAGATTGAGTGTACATATGAGTAACTTAGGAATCCGTGTAATAAAAGGAAAACATTTTCTCGGTTAGACATTTAATAATTGGAAACTACTCCTTGGTGCTAACCAAACAGGGACTAACTTCAAGTAGGAATCGGAATTGTGTTCATCATGAATAACTAGTCAAGCTATGACAAATTAAGGTACCATTACTACTCCATCCCACTAGACATACCGATGGGTGTTCGACCAAGGCTTTGCTAACATTAACACAGAGTCTTCTGAACACCTTGAGCAACAACCTTCGTATGTTTGGCGTGCGATTCGCCCCTACAAAATGTAAGATGCTGCTACAGGACTGGACTACGTCAACTCCTAGCTTAGTGATAGGGAGGAGTGAAGTGATAGAACATGTTGACCACTTCACCTACTTGGGAAGTTGTATTAGCACCAACGGACTGATTGGCGATGAAATCTCAGCACGGATCCGAAAAGCTCGAGCTGCTTTCGCTGACTTACACCATCTCTGGCGTAGGCGTGACATCCGGTTATCAACCAAGGGACGTGTGTACTGCTCACCAGTTCGCTCCGTCCTTCTCTATGGCTCTGAAACATGGCCAATACGAGTTGAAGACATGAAAAGGTTGAATTTTTTTGATCATAGGTGTCTGCGATCTTTTTCTCACGTTAGGTGGTTTAGTAAGGTAAGTAATCTTGACGTTAGGCGTAGAGTGTTGGACAAAGAGGGAAAATTAATCGACGAGGCTATAAAGTTACATAGGTTGAGATGACTAGGTCACGTGCTGCGCATGCCTAACCATCGCCTCCCCCGACGGGCATTACTAGCTGATATAGGTGCAGGTTGGAAAAGAGTAAATGTTGGCTAAACAAAAACATGGCCTCATCAATCCATGAAATCCTTGACAGTTAAACTGAGTCAGGTAGGTAGATGCAGACTTCCGGATTGGGGCCCTCGGGACTCTAGGAATCAATGGCTGGAGACAACAGGTGACATGGCTCAAAATCGTTGTCAGTGGCCAGCGCAGATGTATTCAGTCTCTGTAATCTTTCATATTCCTTTCTATCATTACTCATTCTGTTTCACTCTTATACTTGTCAAACTCTCTTCACTCATCTTCTTGTCTACCTTTGTGTGCTATTTGGAACGTGGTAACTCGAACTGCTGCACTTTGGTGCAGAGTTCGATGTTGAATCCAGACAGACAGACAGACAGACAGAACATCAACACATGAGATATACACGGACAGAAGAACTGTGTGCCTCTGATCAAAACTGATAACATTTCCAATTTCTGAAAGCGTATTCAGACACTCAGGATACACACAAGTTGTGGATAATTACGAAATCTACTTGAGTAGTCTGTAGTGAAAACTGCGATCACACCTAGACTGGTTACGTCGGCGGCCTGCTTAAAACTTCGGCTATTGCATATATTTTCTCTCTTTTTCGATTTTTTACAATTGGTTGAGATATGACCTCTATTGATATCACCTACTCTGGAGTGTGTGTAAAATGTTTACAAACTTCTGATTCACAAGTTCCTACTAAACTTGAGTATTGGTCTGATTGTGAATAACAGCGTGTCCCAATACATGAGAAAACTGCTCTTCAGTTATGTCCTTGGGTTTTAAAATGTATTTCCAAATATCTTACAAGTGGCCCTCAACCAGATATCGTGGATTTCTTGAAGGAAGAGACAAAGAAGATGTATCATCATAGAATAGTTTGTGCTTCAGCTAAGAGACCATTGTGTCACAGGAAGGATATACTGTCAATTAATATTTTACTTGAAGATTTCAATTGTACGAAGGGAAAATATCATGCAATTAACTCCTCTGAAAATTCTTTATATTTTATAAATGTCTTTCTGTGTGTGTGCAGTTGGTAGTGTGTCGGCGGTTGTTGCTTCCCGGCTGCCCACACCGGGTACCTGAAACACAGAGTTAGTGTGGCGTGACCGAAGGGGACAACTGCTTGAGGCCGGACGGTCACACACGACCTGCATGAACTGGTGTCTAGGGTTGGTTTTGGTTCCGTATTAGTAAACTTACCGCCGGTTACGGACCACCGTAGGTGGGGTAAGTCGGGATGTACAATTGTTGGGGTAAACCTTTTCTAACCCCGTCTCTCTCTCTCTATCCAGAGTGGAGAGACAGCATAGCTGACTGGCATGCTGGTCATCTGAGGGAAACACCTCACTGCTGTTACATCCCTGTTTCCCAACAGTATGACTTCGCCCACTGACCCCAAGCACAGTGTAGAAGAAACTTCTTACACTATGCCGGTAACTGCTTTCAGTCTAATCGCTATCTTAGCAATCTTTCTGGCATGGTAGGACCTGCAAGAATAATAGTTCCAGCAAGTGTAGCTTGTTGGGTCATTGCGATGCGCAAGCCCAACCACCGTGTCAAGGTAGCAGCTATCGATCAGAATATTATACAAACACTATCCAGAATAAAGACGTTATTACAAAAAATTTCCAGTAGCTGATGTAAGTGCACACATTCATAAGCCCCAAGAATTAAACTGCATATATAACCAATAGAATCACGCAATCTCTATACTCTAAGTTATATACATATTTTTTTTCCTTCACGTCCCCCGCTGGAACATAGGGATTCAAGCTAGTGGCTTGAAGGTTCTGTAGCAGTATTTATTTTACAGGATGGGGTTGCTAGCTTCATGCCCAACCTTTCCTCTTTACCAGGATTATTTCTGGCTTAGCGAGGTAAAGGAGTGCCTCGTCGGCCGGGGATCGAACCCTGGACCATGTGCATGGTCGGCGAGCGTCCTAACCACTGCGCTACCGATGCATATATATATATATATATATATATATATATATATATATATATATATATATATATATATATATATATATATTATATACAAGAAATCCGAATCATCGAATACTTAGTCGCATCTAAAATAAATGCCATAGTATGGGGAAAGAGTTAATATCAGCAATAACTGTCGTAGAAGTCTAAGATAGAGCC